CTCGCCAGGCTAAAGCTGTATCCCTCTGAACACAGGGATAAAGGTGTAACCTACCCGGAAATCGTTCGCATATGGTGCCAATGTGATATTTTAGATTATTATGGTAATCATTTCAACAAACATTTTCTTACTAATACTTGCTTAGTAAAAAAACGAGTATTTGTATTACCCGTTTATTTGATTATTTTGGCGGATCATCAAGTGAGTCGATACTTTTTGTAGGGGTGTGTATGTTCAATTTAAACTAGGTTTGTCCAAAGAATGTCTTAACAAATCTTCTCAAAGTATCTTATCGACTTGTTCTTTAGCAAAATCTATTGCCTGAAATTTAAGAATAATATAAAAACATAAAAAATCTATATGCATATATATTGCAAAACAACAATACTATTGAAATCATACTCTGTAGTCTTTCTATAATTAACATAAGATCTTTTTTATTATTTCCCAGTCTTCCAAGAATATATACCATCTCAGGTACTAAATCCCTCTGCTCACATATTTTAAATGCCTGTATATGTATCAACATGTAAATGAATGAGTGAATTAATTTCTTTAATTATAAAGTATAATTAAAAGTAAAGTATTTTGTTATATTAATATTAATAATAGCACCTCTTCCAGTGAATAATAATTGCTAGAGCATAGAAAATCTATCAATCTAGGATAATTGTATTCTGCATATAATTCTACCTATTAAAAAAAAAGCATTAATTATATTAAAAGATCTTACACACACATGTATATATAATGTGAAATATCAAACCTGTTCATTATGAAATTCATACCCTGCATGGTGATTATGAAGAAACAATGTGTCCAAATAAATATGTAGAAAGTCTTTATGTGATCTTAAACGTCGAACAACATTTCTAATCTATTGCCATTAAAGTTATTCAAAATCAAAATTATATTTATTCATCATTTAAAGATGTGCATTATATGGTACCTAGACGTTTCCCCGACAACCGTTTCCCCGACAGGACGTTTCCCCGACAGGACGTTTCCCTGACAAGACGTTTCCCCGACAATTACATTTTGTATTACAATATTTATTTGTTTCCCTGCCATGCCATAGCCGGCTAAGTTTATCAAACCATTTAAGCCTATTAACCCATTCACTAGGCGACTAAGCTGTTTAAGTCGGTTAGGCCATTTATTAGCCAATTAATATTAAATATAGTTAACGAAATCTTGTCGGAGAAATGTCCTGTCGGGGAAATGTCTTGTCGGTGAAACGTCCTGTCGGGGAAATGTCTTGTCGGTGAAACGTCCTGTCGGTGAAACGTTTTGTCGGTGAAATGTCCTGTCGGGGAAACGGTTGTCGGGGAAACGTACCAGACCCGCATTTATATACATATTGGAACATCATGAGATTCTCAACTAATAATCAAACAGCCAGTCCATCAGTTGCTTTAGTCAAAAGTCCAGCATTAGACTTATTATTTTTTGTAGTATTCAACTCATTCTTCATTTCATTTTTATCTTCTTCATTTACTTTTTTTTTAGCTTCAGCTAATAAATGTTGATCAAACCTCATTAGAAGAATTACCTTTTCTTGAACTAGGGGTTGGCACCGTTAACCGGTTAACCACCATTTATTAATTTTTTTTATATATTACAGTCAAACCTCGTCACAGCGGACCTCGCCACAACATATTTCTTGTTACAACAGATTTAAGTATTGTCCCCTTATTAATATTAATTAAAACGTTTGTCATAATAATAACGGATT